GGGGAACTCTATCTAGTGTTTATATATATATATATATGTACGCGTGGGCCACGAAGGGGCGGGGAGCGAGCCGTAGCAGCAAAAATGTTCCGATAGGGAAAACGTCCTTCGAACCTCATCTTCCTTCTTCCCAGTTTGTTGTCCCCCGCGTCCGTGCCGATGACGCCCAACGCCACCACACCGCAAGAACTGGGCCTGGGGGAAAGGAAATGTGTGCGCGTGCGCGTGGGAGCCTGTGCCCCCGCCCTGGAGGCAGCGAACAAGAAAAGGACCGGTAGCAAAAAAAATGAGGGGAAGGAGAGGGATGACACGAAGGACGACGAACGAAAACAAAACAAAAAGAAAGGAACAGGAAAGGATAAGGACGACAAAAAGAACGAAAAAAAAAGAGAGAGAGAGAGATAGTGAGGTAGGGGGACAAGAGATGGCTCAAAGAGGAATTTGATGGCAGAAGAGCGCGCTGCTGCCGATGGTGTATGGCTGTGGCTGTTTGTATTTGTGTCGGTGCCTTGTGCTCTTTCTCGCCGCCCACGCGGCGGGGGGCGACGCACGGGGTATCCGTCCCCTGCGGCGGTGCAGCGGCGACTTCTGCGCGGCCGACGGGGGGCCTCATCCGCTGCTGCTTTTGTGGTTGTTGCCTATTACTCTCTTTCTTTCCTTCTCTCTTTCTCTCTCTCTCCCCCCGTTCTTCCTTGCAGTTGCCGCGGCGCGGATTGGGCTTTAGGGATAACACCCGCAGGGCGGCAGCCGGTGGTTCTGGCGAACACAACCTTGGGGAGCCCGTCATCTCCCACCTCCTTCCCTTTTTTTTTTCTCCCACCCACTCGCTCTCTGTGTGCGGGTTGGGTGTGCATACAATTGCGCCACGGCGCCCCAACCGCGCCCGGAACTGAACAAACGGGGTTGGCCAGTGAGGGTTCGGTAGACTGCCCTGGAGAGCAGCCAAAGAAACAAACAAACCAAGCAAGCAAACAAAAAAAAAAGTGCTGGTAAGGAAGAGGCGAGGGAGCAGCGGCAAACAAGGAGGATAGAGAAAAAGGAAGAGGGAGTAATAACCGTTCGCGTGTTTGCCTCTCGTGTGCTCTCTGCCTCGATGCTCAACTGGTGGCTGATTGTGATCCTGGTCGTCGTCGCCCTGCTGTGCGTGGGGCTGGGCCTCTACGTCCTCTTCTACTTTGTCTCGGAGGACGACGACGGCGGGGACTACGGCGCGCGGGCCATCGTCGTCCTCGGCATGGTGGTTGCCATGGGCGTCGTGCTGCTGCTACCGCTGGACGTCGCCAACGCCACCGACCCCACCGTGCCGCACAAGTACTCGAACACCCTCAACACGCAGCTCATGTGGCAGATTGTGCTTTGGATCCTCCTCATCCTGGCCCTCGTCGTGGTGCCCTTCGTGATGTTCTTCTACGAGGCCTTCGACCCGGAGAAGAACAGGCTCGGCAAGCAGATTCTGCAGGCGGTGCTCTACACCCTTGCCGTCTTTGGCGTGTTTGCCATCATCTGCGGCGTGTGCTACAGCCTGGTGGGGGTGGCGCGGGTGCCGGTGAAGACGTACGTGGGATTCCCACAACTCGTCGTCGACGTGGACGACGTTGTGTACAACGGCTCACGGGGCTCTGCCTACGAGGACATCGGTGTCAGCTTCTTCACCTACTGCGTCGGCCTGATGTGTTTCATTGGCTGGATCGCCTTCTTCTTCTACGGCGGAGTGGGGCTCGTGTCCTTCCCCATCGACCTCATCCTCGGCTTCGTGAGGCGGACCAAGGCGATCAGTGGCTCCCGCTTCGCGGAGGAGATGGCCATCGTCGCAGCCAAAAGCGATGCCCTGCTGGAGTTGTCGCTGGAGTTGCAGCGGAAGTGCCGTGGCAGCATCAGCGCCTCGCAGCGGAACAAGATCAACATCCTGCGCAACGAGACGTACCTGCTCGAGGCACAGCAGGAGCAGCTTATATGGGCCTACACAAAGGCGGGTGGCTCCCCCTTCGTCGTCTACGGCCGTCTTTTGCTGGGCATCGTCTCCTGCGGCATGAGTCTGGCGTGGATCCTGCATATCTTCATCTACAACACCTTTGACGTCTCCCCCTTCCTCAACAACATTCTCACCGCGCTGGACGGCGTCTTTGCGCTCTTCGGCGTCATCGCCTACGGGGTGTTTGTCTTTTACCTGATGTGGGTGACCTTTGAGGGGCAGGTGCGCCTCGGCATGCGGCTTGTGTTCCTGCAGATTCATCCGCTGAAGCCACACGACACGACACTCAACTCGCTGCTGTTTAACGTGTCACTGTGCCTCCTGACGGGCCCTGCCATTGTGGAGTTTGCCGCCCGCTCCTTTCAAGAGTACGGCCCACTCACGGCGATCAACGCACTAATGAACATTTATGTGCTGCACCTGAAGGGCATCGGGTGCTTCATCAAGTGGGCCCAGCTTTGCTTCGTTGGCATCTCGCTACTGTCAGTGGTCTGGGTGCTTCTGTGCCCCGTGAAGGTGCGGCGCAGGGACCCGACGAAGCTGCGGCTTTGAAACGCCCCAGATGCACTTGAGGGCGTTGAGTGTGAGTGTGACCTTCTTCCCGGGTGCGATACCCGGCCCCGGCTGCGTTGGGCGTCGTGGTGCCCGTTTGGTGCACGGCGGCCCTCATGTTTCCCTCCTGCAGTTTTTTTTGTTTGTTTGTTTGTGTGTGTTTTTTTTTTGCCGCTGCCGCTGCCGCTCTCTCCGCTGCGTCCACCGCCTGCCCTTCCGAGCGGAGGTGCCCCCTCCGCCGTCGCTGCGGCGGCTCCCCACCACTTTCCGCCCGCGCTTTGCAGGCGTCCTCGCTACGGCCACGCGCCACCCACCGAAAAAAAAAGGAGCAAATACACCCACACACACACACACACAGTTAAGCGAGGGAAAAGAAGAAGAAGAAAGGACAAGCGCGGGATAAAATACACGAGAAACAAAGCGCAAGTAGCGTAAAACCTGACAAAAAAACAAAAGGACACGTAGGCGGACGCGGTCATTCCATTCCATTCATATCGTCTCTCGCACTCGCCTTGCGACCACGCCGCGAGTTGGTTGCAGGGGCACCAAGAGGGCCGCGGAGAGTAGGACAAAAGAAAAAGGAGGCGAAAGAGTTACTTTGTGCGTTGTACTGCGGGGCTTTGCGCCCACACACACGCACACGCACACACCCGCGTCCATTGCCGTGTACGCAAGGGTTGGAGGGTAGTGCCTGTGGTGCTGTATTTTCCATTGAGGGCCCTCGCCAGACGCGGCGCGGCCGCTGGTGATGAGTGTCGCCCCACAGAAGGGGCAGCTGCCGCAGCTGAGCCTACCTGACGGTGTTACGGTGTGGGATGGGAATGCGCTTGATGATGCAAGGCGGAATCATAATTCCGATGGGAGTGCCGATCGCCTCATGCTGACCATCGACATTCTTGGGGCGCGTAGCAAGGAGTCGCAGGGGCTGAACACCGTATTGACCTCCGTCGCGCGGCTGCGGGAGAACCGACAGGCGCGGATGTATCTGCTTTGCCACGACGGCTACGGCGTCGGTATTTTAAAGATGGGGGTGAAGAAGTTGTTCGTGACGCACCCCGCCTACCCTGCGCTGGTGGAGATTGACCCCCTCTGCGTGCTCGACTTCTTTGTAGACACCAGCTCCCAACGCCGCGGGTACGGAAAGACGCTTTTTGACGCCATGCTGCTAAACGAGGGCCTCAGCCCCGGGGAGGTGGCCATCGACCGCCCCAGCGTGAAGTTCCTTGCGTTCCTGCGGAAGCACTACGGCCTGGTCGAGTACACGCCGCAGTCAAACAACTTTGTGGTGTTCCACAGCTACTTTGACAAGTGGCAGCCGCGGCGTGGGAGGGGGTGCAGAGGCGAGGATGCCGCGTCCGCTGGCGTGCCTGCGCGGTCGCAGGGCGGCAAACTGCGGGTTCACCCCGGCTACCAGGGACCGACGCACACAATCAACGCGCTGGGGGCAGATACCACGCACCGTTTCCCGCTGATTCAAACAACTTCGCAGGGGCCCTCGGCATCGCCGGACCCAAAGAAAAAAACGGCGTATGAGTTGCAGTATGAGGAGTATATGCGGGAACAGGCGCAGCGGAAAGAGCAAGGGCATACGCTTGTTTGGACTGGCGCCCATCCCGTCTCTTCTTCGGAGGTTGCGGCGGCGGGTTGTGCCCTCAGGCGTCGCGTTTCGCCTACCCGCAGTGGAGTCCAGTACAACATCATTAGCGGGGCTCCAGAGCGCTGATGTAAAAAAGAAGTGCCAGCGATGCAACGGGCATGTCTCGGTTGGTGAAGGTTACATGTAGCTTCCCAGGTTCAACTTACAATTTGACTGCGGCCTTCATTTCGTGGGTTCGTAGCGGAGACGGCGGTGGTCGTTACCACATCCTCTTCTCCTTTTTCTGTTTTTGGGTGGCTGAGGCTGGTGTATCAACGCCTCACCCAGGTTTTTTTTTTTGTCCTTCGTACGCGCGTGGGGCGGGTGGTGTTATTTTGTGCCCCCCTCCCTCCCTCCTTCCTTCCTTCCTTCCTCCCTTGGTGCCCACCCCTTCTACGTATTCCGCCACTCCCTCGGCGTCCCGTTCCCTGTGTCTGCGTGCGTGTGTGTGTGGGAGGAGGAGGAGGAGGAGGGCTCGCCTGCCTCCCACCGCACCCGCTCCCCTTTTTGGGTTTCGCGTGCGCGCTTTGCTGCCGGCCGCGGCGGGCGGTGAAGTGAGGCGCCCCCCCCCCTCTGCATCTTCTTCCTGCGTGTCCCTCTCGTCCTCCCGCGCTCTCGTGTGCCCTGCAGAGAAGTAGTTAGAGTGAGCTGAAAAGCGAGCGAGTGGTTTAACATATTCGAATACTCATGCCGCGGCCTTTTGGAGTATGGGCGCCCGCCACGACCCTTGCGGAGTACCGTGCGCGTCTGCCGAACATAACGGCGTTCGGGCTGAAGTGGGTGTTCTCGGCGAAGCGGGAGGTATACTACCACCCCGAGGCCCTCGCCCACTTCAAGGACCACCAGCAGTACAAGGACGCCGTGGACACCGTCCGGGCGATGCGCTACTCCGACAAGTTCTTTGGTGAGGGGCAGAAGCTGCCGCGCCACTTCATGTCCAAGCTGACGGCGATGGTGGTGCTTCACGGGGTGCTGGTCTATGCCTTGGTGAGCTACTTCTACGGCGTCCACGTCCCCGCCAACAACCCGACCTGGCGCAAGGTGGTGAACAAGGAGTGGGAGGAGGCGATCAACACCTCGCCGTGGGACCACATGTCGCACGTCTGGCAGTACAGCGACCAGTACGCGGCGGTGATGGGCGACACGGGCTCGCCAGGGCCGCGGAAGTTCTACATCCCGGCGTAGTCGCGCTATCTAGTGTGCATGCCTCGTCCGCGCTCGCCCGCCCCCCCTCCCTGCAGCCGTGACACTTGCGCGTCTGCGTGCGTGTGTATGCGTCTGCGCGTAGTAGCCCAAATCTAAAAGAGAGAAGGGGAAAAGAGGGAGTAGGAGGGGAGGGGGGAGGGGGCGAAGGAACCGGGGCAAGGCAATATTTATGTTATGCAGTTCGCTTCTCTTTGGCGTTTCTAGGAGTTCAGGGATATTTGTATTTGCCGCCTTGCTCGGTCCACCTCTCACTGCCGCCGCCGTGCACGCGCAGTCTGAGCGGGGGCAAAAAAGAAAAAAAAGAAACAAAAAACAAGACAAAAAAAAAAGAAGAGGGAAATGGACCCAATGGGGGGCCGGGTAAAAAAAAACATCATCATCATAGAGGAGGAGGAAGGAAGATGAAGCAAACAAAAAAAGAAGAAGGAAAGAAATACTGTCAGAGGGTCCATGAAGAAAAGGGTAGTAGCAGTAGATGCCGCCCAAGGCGGAATCGAGGGCGTAGCAGTTGGGGGGGATGTGACACTTCGACAGGAGCTACTCGTGCGACGCTGCGGCCGGAACAGTACGACCCCTGCGCGTGTGTGTCGGTGTTCTTTTTTTTCTTCTCTTGTTGTTGTGCCTTTTACTCGTCGTCTCTCTCCTTCTCTCCCTCTTCCCCCCCAATTTATTCGGTGCATGCGCGCAGAAGGGCTTCCCATCCATCTTGCTGCAACAACACCAACAACAACAACAACAAAAAACCGAGTGTGAAGGGGACGACGTGATGCTGCGCGCCACCACCCGGGCTCTCTGCGACCGGCCTCCGGCGGTCAAGCGCTTGCAAGACAAGCTGCTGATCAACGGCAAGTTTGTACCGGCGGTCTCGGGAAAGACGTTTGATGTCGTTAACCCGGCGACGGAGGAGGTGTGCGCCCGCGTGGCGGAGGCGGATGCGCCGGACGTCGACCTCGCCGTCGCGGCCGCCCGCGAGGCCTTCCAGCACTACCGCACCACAGACGGCCGCTACCGCCGCGGTTTGATGCTGAAGCTGGCGGATGCCATTCACCGCCACCGCGAGGAACTTGCTGCAGTGGAGACGCTGGACAATGGAAAGCCGTACGGCGTCGCCCTGCGCCTGGACTTGGCGCAGGTGGAGGAGTGCTTCCGCTACTACGCGGGGTGGGCGGACAAGGTCTGCGGGCAGGTGCTCCCCACCAGCGGGAGCAACTTCAGCTTCACCAAGCGGGAGCCGGTCGGGGTGTGCGGGCAGGTCATCCCGTGGAACTTCCCGCTGCTCATGGCCGCGTGGAAGCTGGCGCCTGCCCTTGCCATGGGCAACACCGTCGTGCTCAAGCCGGCGGAGCAAACCCCGCTGACGGCGCTCCGCCTTGGAGAGCTTGCCGTGGAGGCCGGCTACCCGGACGGGGTGCTCAATATTTTGCCCGGTTTTGGGCCAACCGCCGGCGCGCGGCTTGCCATGCACGACGACGTGGACAAAATCGCCTTCACCGGCTCCACCGTCGTCGGCCACCAAATCATGCGGATGGCTGCGGACTCGAATCTGAAGCGGGTCACGCTGGAACTCGGCGGAAAGTCCCCGCTTATCGTCTGCGACGACGCCGACCTCGACGCTGCCGCGACAGTCGCGTCGGAGGGCGTGTACTTCAACACGGGCCAAGTCTGCACCGCCTCCTCGCGCGTCTTTGTGCATGAAAAGGTGCATGACGCCTTTGTCGCGAAGCTGAAGGTGCTGGCGGAGTCCCGCCGCGTTGGCCCCGGCGACGACCCCGCAAACAATCACGGGCCGCTTGTCTCGGCGCGGCAGCACGAGCGCGTGCTTGGCTACATTGAGAAGGGCAAGGTGGAGGGCGCCACGGTGGTGACGGGCGGGGCCCGCTGCGGCGACCGCGGCTACTTTGTGCAGCCCACCGTGTTCACCGCGGTCGCCGACAAGATGACGATTGCGCGCGAGGAGATCTTTGGCCCCGTCGTCTGCGTCATGGCGTTCAAGACGATGGACGAGGCCATTGAGCGCGCCAACGCGACGACGTACGGGCTCGCAGCCGGCGTCTGCACGACGGACGTGGAGAAGGTTATGCACTGCGCCTCCTTCTTAAGGGCCGGCACCGTGTGGGTGAACTGCTGGAACTGCTTCGACGCCGCCATGCCGTTCGGCGGCTTCAAGCGCAGCGGCCTCGGCAGGGAACTTGGCGAGCAGTCGCTGCAGCACTACACCGAGACCAAGTCCGTGCACATTGCACTGAAGGGGCCGTTGGTGAAGAACTAATTTGAAAGCTAAAACAGAAAAAAAATATATATACACACACACAGGGAACTCTACTTTCTTTGTTTTTGTTACGATGCTGACTACTCGTACAAAGGTTTGGGTGTCTTGGACGCAACTCGGCGCGAGTACGCCTTTACCGATTGCCTCCTCCTCCTCCTCCTCCTTCTCTTGTGTTTTGTGTTTCGTTTCTGACGTGGGCCTGCAAGCGACTGATATTTATTTATATTCATATTTATTTATATATATATATATTTTACGGTTCCTTCTTCGCATCACGAACGTTTGTGGGTGACCTGCGTCTCTGCGGGGCCTCTGAAAGGGAATCGACGTGCGTCTCTGTTTTGTCTCATGGGAGTTATGATTATTATTATTATTTCTTTTTTTTTTGTGGTTTCTTTGTATTTGGCGACTGTCTTCTTCAGCTGCCGCCTGAATTCAGCGCAAACGATTTGCGAACGACACCGCCCACGCATGAGGGCCGTGGCAGCCGCGTGTGCGTGTGTGTGTGTTTGAGTGATCCGCCAGCATTTCGTTCCTTTTTTTTTTCTATTTCTTCCACTTTCTGTGTGGGGGCGCGATGCTCGGATGCTGCCATTGCTTGCAATGGCGGTGATTCTTTTGCACAGGCGTTGTGTTGTCTTCCTCGCTTTGTCTGCCAGCCACTGCACGCCGCAGCGGCACACACATACACACGCACGCACATAGAGAGAGAGAGCGAGAGAGGGAGGGGAAACAGCAGCGCGAAGGGCTGCCTGCAACCCAGACAAGAAAAGATTGAAAGGAAAATAGAAACAAAGGAAACGGGTGTTTGCGTGCGGGTAATTGTGCTTCTGTTCTGGTGTCGCACACGTACGCGTGGCGTTCCAGCAAAGAGACCCGCGGCGTTGTGTTTGGCGGGGATGTCGGCGTCACAGATGCTTCTCGCGCGGGTAGAGATCCGGCGCTTGTCTTTTGTAGCAAACGGGTCGGAGGAGGGGGCGGGGGACGGTGCCGTGGAGTGTTGCGTCTCGCTTGGCGCCCCGCCTGGCGTAGAGCTGCGCCGCCGCCGCCCGCCGCCGCAAGAGACGCACGCGGAGGCGGCCAGAGGGCTGCGGCTGCGCTGCGCCGCGAACGTTGATCTGCAGGGAGTCTTCTTCGAGGTGCGGCAAACGTCAGACGCGCCGGCCGATTCGGACGTCGAAGACGTGCGGCTGCAGTGTGGCCTGTGGTGCCGGACGAGGCGGTGCGACCAGAGCGGGGCGACAAGCGACTCCTCGTTGTCCAAGTTCTCCTCACTTCCTTGCACCGACGCGTCTGAGGAGGAGGAAGCGTCCTCCTCGTCGTCGTCGTCGTCGTCGGGGTCGCGTTGGCAGCTGTTCGCCGAGGGCGGCGTGCGAGCCACGCAGTACGGCCTGCAGGCGGTAGAGTTGGAGGTGGACGCTGCCGCAGAATCGCCTTGCGGGTCTTTGGCGTCCGTCTTGTTTTTTGTCGCGCCGCGGCTGCACTGCACCGTGGCGGCGGAGGACGACGGACCACCACCGCGGGCGCGTTTAGAGGCGCACGAGATCTGCGATCCCACGCCGCTCCGGGCCGCCGCCGCCGCCGCCGCCGTTGCCGCCGAGGAGGAAAACGCGGGGGGCTCGGAGGGCTCTGTTGGCGGTGGGGCCGCGGCGACCGAAGCGGCGTCGTCTACCTCCTCCGCGAGGGGCGGGGAGGCGGGCGAGCCGGAGGCCACGCAGGAGCGAGAGGCCCCCGCGGTGGTCTCTGCGTCGCCATCCGCTCCGGCTGAGAGCGCCGTGGTGCGGTGGGCGTTGTTTGTCGACATGGCGTCTTGGAACTGGTGCCTGCCCGCCGCCGAAAAGGACGTGGAGTGCCCCTCGCCCGGGGAAGCCGGGGAGGACGCCTGCACGGCAGCCGAGCGGCTCTGGCGGCTGACTCTTTGCACGGCGGATGGACGCGTCTTGGCCCGCGGCTCCTCCTTTTGCGGCTCGGTCTGCTGTCGTCAGGGCTGGTCTGACCTCATTGTGGCCGTCGGCGACGACATCGCGGCGGCCACCGTTGTGTCCCTGCAGCTTCAGTCACTGCTCCCCGTCGCGCTTGGCGCGGACGCCGGTGACAATAAGGAAGTTGCGTTTCCTCCGCAGGACAATGCGCCGGCGCCCGGCTGCCCACTGCGGTGGGTGCCGGTGGCAACCTCGGCGCTGCTGCCGATTGCGGAGCTGCTGGTGTGCTCCGCAGACGCCCGCATGTGCCCGGTCTCGCTGTACGCGGCGGCGGCGGCGGCCGACGGGTCCGTTGCCGCCCCGTGCTCCTTCCCTTTTCAGGCGGGTCAAGTGGTGCAGGCGCAGGCGACGCTCAGCTGCGTGTCTGCCGCAGTGGGCGCGTCTGACGCGGCGGGGTGGATGCGGGCGCCGCAGCGCGTCGCCGCAGAATGCCATGGGGAGACGTTGCGCCTGGCGCGTGGCAGCCGCCCCCCGCAGCGTCCCGCCGCTGTGTATTCTCTCGCACTGCACGTCTGCTTTGCGGTATCGCAACGACTCTGCTGCCAAGTCGACGCGGGTGCGGCGTATCCGTGTGTGGCGCTTGCGATTAGCGGAGGGTGTGAGACACTGCTCGAGGCGGCGCACGAAGACGACGACGCGGGCCGCGTGGAGCTCCGGCGGGCTCCTGTGATGCGGTTTGACGCGCGGGTGCAAACCACGCTTGACGAGGCACACCCGGTGCTGCTGCTGACGTTGCACAGTCCAGTCGCACCGGAAGTCGTGTTTGGGCGGGCGGTGCTCTCCGTGTTTGAATTGCCGCCCGCCTCCGCCGGGCGTCTCTGGATTCCGCTCCGAGTCGACAGGGAGGCCGACCGCGAGAGCGCCACCGCCGCCGCCGCCGACGACGACGACTGCGACGAGCGGAACTGTGCGGGGTGGCTGCACTGCGGCTACGCGTGCATCCTCCGCCCTGACGAGCACGCGACGTCGGCGGTGTCGCTGGCGAATCAAGAGCTACTCCAGCAGCCGACGCCACTGCCCGCGCCGTCCTCCGTGCCAAAGTATTTGACCTCTCCGTCCCTCACCAAGCCACTCCGGTGGAACTGTTTGCGGCTCTGCATTGTTGCGGCGGCGGATTTTCGTGGGGCGCTGACGCGCTCCGGTAGGTGGGAGCAAACTGGGGGCGTGTACGCCGAGGCAAACGTGCTTCCGCCGCCCCGTGCTGTGGGCCGCACGGACAGTTCCACGCTGGCTGCCGCCTTTACAACCCCTGTCCTCGCCTCCAGCCACCCCCACTGGGTCTGCAGCAGCAGCCTGGCCATTGCTGCAGGCACGACGCATCTTCTGATTCGGCTCTTTGACGACATGGGCGACAGCGGCGGTCAAACGAGTGAGGACACCGAATGCCTGGGGGTACTCGACATCCCGCGCTTCGCCGCCTCACGCTTCTGGACGACGCCCGCAGGGGAAGCATGGCTGCCGATCGTGTCGCCGATGCAGGGGGCCTTGGACTGCTATCACGGCGCGGTGCTCTTGCGCTGGGCATTTAGTGGCCGGGACTATCCGTCTTGGGCGGCGCTGCGTGGCATCGGGGCCGAGCCTCGCCCGCATTGGTCTCCTTCCGCGCTGCTCCAGCCACACGGCATGTGCTGGGTGCAGCTAGGCTGCATAGAATTGCTCTGGACGTGGCTGCTGCACTGCAGTGCGTGGAGGGCGTCCGCCGCTTCGGTGTCGCTGCGACGTCCAAGCTTCTTTTTGCGGCTGTGGGCGGGTCATTTCGCGCACGAATTGCCCTTGGAGCCCTCCTGCGAGGGAGACTGCTGCGTCGCCGTGCATACGACGGTGTGTCTCCCGCTCAGCGACCATTTGGAGGCGGCTCTGTGCTGCTCCCACGACCCCCGTTACTCGCCCGCCGCCTCTCTGTCGTCGTCTCTGCCCTTTTTATCCACGGAGGAGACCTCCAACGCCGTCGTCGTGCTTGGAGGAGGGGAGCTGCTGCTCTCGGCTGAGGCGAGGGCAGACATTGCCGCCTCCCAGCAGCTGCGCCGGGCGGTGATACGGATTGAGCCCCGTTCCACGTACCCGCCTTGCGCTGCACAAGCGGGCCTGCTGACGCTGCAGCTGCAACATGCTCGCATCGCACAAGAGGAGGCGGCGGACGCCCACCAGCGCCCACAGTCGCCACGGTGGACGTGGCCGCCTCCGCCTCTCTCCACAGTCGTGGAGCTGCGTCTAGGGGGCGTGGTCGTGATGAATACCCAAGCGCCACTTGTCCTCTCAGACCGCACGCTCTCGCCGCCGCCGCGCTGGGTTGTTGGCGTCCGCGAGAAGTCGGGGAGGTCGGGGAGTTCAGGATTGCACGGCGCGGCAGGAGCCTCGCTTGATTACATTATACACCCTCCGGTGACCTTGAATGCCACCGCCGCCGCCGCCGCCGCCGACAAGTCCGCACGTGTTGGCGGGGGCTCACTGTATCTTCATTGGCCCGCCTCACCGTTTGACAATGGTCTGCATCTGCGCCCCCCGCCACCGACAGTTGAGCTCCTGCTCTCAAGAGAAGTTGCGACGACGCCGCAGGCGGGAGCCGCGGCGGCAACGACCGAGTTTGTTGGGTCCGTCACACTCGACTTGTCGCACTGTTTCGAGGGGGCAAGTGGCACGCAGTTGTACGCCCTCCGCCACCCGCCCGTCCCGCAGGACACGGCAGGGGGTGGGGGACGCTTGATTGGGTTTGCGGAGCTGCACTTTGCCCACAACTTTGTTCAGGACGACGTGTGCGTGGGGGAGAAGGCCGCCGTGGCGCCAGCGAAGGCGGTGGGGGGTGAGGGCTTCTTCTTCATGGAGGTGGTGAAGGCCCACTACCGGCAGCGGGCGCGACTTCTGGACTCCACGCAACCCCGAGATGCGGGAGAGCCACTGACGTCACTTGTCGTGGACGTTGAAGGGACGACGTGGCGCACGAAACCCCAAAAGGGCATGGCACCGTGTTTTGACTGCCAGATGGCGTTTGAGCTTCCGCAGCCGCCCAAGCTTGAGACAGGCAAAAGGCCCTGACGACGTGGTGGAGGTTCGAATTCAGGTGCTCCCTGAGCCCTCCATCGGCGACGACGGTCCCGCCCTGACGGAGGCGACGTGGTCGCCGATGTTCGCCACCGCCTTTGCTTTTCTGCGGCTGCGGCGAAAAGACGTTCTCGCTGCTGGCGGGCTCAGCACCGATTGCTGGGTTCCGCTGTACGCCGCCGAAGACGGCATGGGCGGTGTCCGCGTTCTGACCGGCGAGGTGCTTGTGCGTTGGGGCTGGCGCCTCCATTTTTCATGCGACGGGGCGGCGCCTCTGACGGTCTGCACGGCGCTGCCGCCACCGCCCGCGGTTCAGCCGGCCGACGAGGTGGCAGCGCCGACGTCCGTGAAGGGCGGTGCGGAGGTCCCTTCGCCGCCGCCGCCGCCGCCCTCGTACCTGTGGCTGCAGGTGTGCGATTTTGTGGCCCTCGGTGGTTCTCTTCGTGACACTGCGGCGGGGACTGAGGGCGGTGAGCTTTTCGTCGTGGTCTGCATAGACGAGACACCATCGGTCTCAGAAATGCCACCCCGTGACGAGGATGACCACCAGCCGCAGGAACCACGACGGCTGGGCTGTTCTGCGGCAAAGTACGGGGACTGCACTGCTGGCGCGGTGTTTGATGCTGCTTCCAAGCGATGGGTGTGGATGGAGTACTGTTTGCTCCCTTTGCTTCCTGATGAAGAGCTGAGCTTTTGCTTTGAGGTCCGCCGCAGCGGCCGCGACGGCGACACGCATTTGGTGGGCAGCGGATCTTTGACTCGTCGGGATTCCATTGGGCGTTGGAAGGCGGCGGTGGCCATCTTTGCTGCCGGCGCTGCGCAGCCCTGCGGTGCACTGACAGTGGCGCTGCTGCAGGCCCCTCTGTCCGGGGCGTCGACAGTCGTCTCCACCAGTCAGCCACGGGAATTGGCGGCGCGGCCCCTGGCAGGCGGGGAAGCAAGCCAGCCAGAACCAGAAACGGGAGGTGAAGTGGAGGGTGTGGAGTGCCCCCCAGCATTCTCGGTGTTCGAGGCTGCCGAGTTGGCGCTGCTGCGCGTCACTGTGCACACCGCAGAGATCTACGGTCGCAGCGTAGCTCCATCCGACGGCGGTTGGGAGTTAACGCTGCGGAGTGACGTGGCCTGCGCTGCGGGGGACACGTGCAAGTGGACCCGGCTGGAGGCGACGCCGCCCTTGCGGGGCGCCGGTGGCGAGGAGTGGGTGGGTGCGGTGTGCGCGCGGAGTGGGTCCGCGCTTGAGTTTTCCCTCCTGCGTCGCGTTGTGGCTGGAGGCAGAGGCGCGCCGCCGACGGGTCCGCGAGAGGTGTGCGGGCGGTTTGTTGCCCGCTTTGCCCTTCCGTTGGCCGGAGACCCCGAGCGACGCCTCCACGTGGATTTGGTGCGTAGTGCTTCTTCCGGCCCTTTTAAAGACATCCCTGTTCCTGTTGGGCGGCTCTGCGCCTCCTGCTGCCCGCTCATGCACTCCGGCGCGTTGTACGATCCCCGTCCGGTGTTCTTCCGGCGCACGCTTTACCTTGCGGTGGCGGAGCTGCTCGGCGTCGTGCGTGTGCGGCGGCAGTCGGCAAACAACACAGCCGAAACCAGCGACTCGGAGACGGCAGAGGAAGAGGACGGGGCACGCAACGAGGAGGCGTATTTGTGCATGCGGCTGCAGTGCGGGGCAGCAGCGGCCGTGTCCTCGCTCTTCGCCCCGCCTACGGTGGCTGTCTCGAGCAGGCGCGGGGCGCAACTCGACGGGGAGCACGACTGCCGCGTGCCGCACTTCTCCCTGCGGCTGGACTGCGGCCCTGAAGACGCCGCGGAGGCTGCCGCCGTGCGTCTCTCGCTGCACCTCTGCCCAGCCCCCACGCTGCCGCAGCGGCAGGGTGCGGGCAACGATGTGCCTGCGGGCGTGTTGATTGGGGAGGCCCTCGCGCAAGTGCCGACGCCCCGCACGAGCGAAGACGCGAATTGGCCATCGGCCGTCGCCGCGGTCGACTGGGTGAACTTGGCAGTTGACGCCGCCTCGCTCTGGGTGCCCATTCCGGCCGTGGGCGTGAGGTCAGCGCGGACGGCGTACGCACGCCTGCAGTATGCCTGGTCGTATGAGGTAGGCCTGGGCAGCTGGCTGGCGTGCATCCGAATCCGTTCGCCGGGGCGACAGCCCACGCTTCACCGCCCGTTTCTTTGCTTTGTCATGCGGTTCCCGAACGGCGTTAGGCTTCGTCTGCCGCTGGATCTTTTCGGGACGCTTCTGTCCTCGCCGCAGCCACCACGCGCCGATCACTTGGAGGGTGTCGCACTGCCGCTGCGATCCGCTTGGTCCTTTTCCCACATCCAACTGCCGGTGGTGTGGCCGTTGGGGGCGCAGGTTGAGGCCGTCGAGCTGCACGATCGCGTGGCGGCGGGGTTCTCCATGCACTTGGGCACACACCCGTGGACCTCCGGCGACACCCCTCTGCTGTCCCTCCTCCTCCTTGACGACATCGCGGGTTCGGCGCAGCCGTCGTCAAGGTCGCCGTTCTCTGCCTCCGCGCGGTGGCTGCGCTTCGCAGACGTGGGCGGCGGCGCGCAGGGGGGACGCAGACACGAATGCGGCGGCGCACGAGGTCCTGCTGGCGCCCTCCGTTTGTCCGCCAGGAGGCGCCGGCGTGGCGGCGCGGGACCTGCACGTGCCCTTCCGCTGGTGGCCCCTGCAGGCCTCCTTGCGTCTCACCGTCCCTGGCCACGACGTGGTGGCGCTGGGGGCGGGCCGGTTGGCGGTGAGCTGCCGCCTGCGCCTCGGCCGCTGGCGCCCGGCGTCGGCAGCAGCAGCAGCAGCGGCAGTGGCAGTGGCAGAAGGAGAGGAATGGGTGTGGGAGGGCGATGGGGCCGAGGCCGCGGAGGAGTTCAGGGAGGATGAGGTGTTTGCCACACACATTGAGGTGGAGCCGTCCACCGCCGCTGTGACGGCGACGTGGGGCACAACCGCCGCTGGCGTTGGCGGCGTGTTTACGCGTCACTTGTCTATCGAAGAACTGCGCGAGGGGGCGGTGCGGCATGCCGTGCGAGTGAGCGTCGTTTGCCGCGCGCGCGGCGCCGCTGCCGCCGTCCCCGGCTCCACAACTGCCTCAGCTGCGGCAGCAGCTGCAGCGACGACGGGCATGACCGCCATTTACGTCTGTAGCGGCACTTTTTTTCTTGACGACGGCTGCGCCGGCGTCCATGGGAAAACGCGGCTGCTGCTGCTGCGCGAGGGCGACGCGGCCCCCGCGCGGACGTTGGACGCGCCAAGCGACGCCGCCGATGCGCTCACTCTGGCGTGGGCTATTGCACACGACCAGATGACGCTGTGCCCCCCGGCGCGGGATGCCTTTCCCGTGGCTGCGTTGTGTACTCCGGCGCTTGACGCCCTGGGGGCGAAGCGGCGCTGGCGACGACATCGGGTAGGCGACGCACACCGGCCGCCTGCGATGCCGTCTTGGCTGGTGACAGCGGTTGACGTGCGAGACCTGCCTGTGCTGTTGCCGGTGACGGCCAACAGGACTGTGACGACGTCACGCGTTTTCGCCTCCGCGGGGTTTGTTCCTCCGAACATTCCTGTGCTGGCGTATTTGGCTGCGCGGAGGCGACGCCGCTGCCCTCCCCGCAGCTCGCCCGCTGCGTTGAAAGAGAAGCGGCAGCAACAGCAACAGCAACAGCAACAGCAGGAGGAGGATGAGGATGAGGATGATGACGGCGTAGCGGGGGCGAAGTTCGGCGCTCGTTTTCCGCTCGTTTCTGTGCGTGCCACTCCCACCACCCCGCGACAACTTTGCTCCCGCTACGCCCTGCACATTGAGCCCATGTGGTGCGTGGAGCCGCAGGAGTGGGTGGACCACCGCCGACCGCTGCAGCTCACGCTGTGGCAGGTGCTCTCGTATGCCGAGCGGCTCAGCTGCGCGCTGGGCACGCTGCGCCTGGACGCCGTTCTTAGAGACGCCTTTGCCCACCTTCCCACTGGAGTTCGCGGCGACCCTGCGGAGGAGCTTGTGACGGAGTGGTGGCCGCTTGCTGGAGGGGAGTTGCCGCCGCAGGACGCGGGGAGCGTTCGCCTGCGGTGCCGCCCCGTGCCGCACGCACCGAGTGGGGCGAGCGTGGGCTTCTGCCAGGTGCCCGTTTGCGTGGAGCTGCTGCAGATCACCGCACACTCCTTCAGGGGCGGCCGACCCTCGAAGCCTGGGGGCCGGCTGGGGCTGGTGCTGTCCCCCGCAGGCAACACCCGTTTCGCCTCCTGCAGCACCACATGCTTGCTGCCTGGCGGGGACGACCATCCCCCCTAGGGAGGAGGGGAGCCGTGAGGAGATGAGGCACCTCTGCAGCGGCCCAAGTGAAGGCGGCGCGCACGCGGCTGCGAACGGCGGCGGCGGCGGCGGTGTGACCTCGGAGGAGCTGGTGGCGCTCTCGACATTCCACAGCCTCCTCCTCGAGGGACGTGGGGCGGATGCCGGCGCGGAGCAGCGGGCGTGGCTTTATGTGGACGTGCTTCTGGTGGAGTGCAGAGGCAGCGGCGGAGATGCACAGGGAGGCGGGACTGTTTCCCGCGACGACATCGTGCGCGTGCTGGCCTCTGACAGACTGGATTTGCGCCGACTCCCACACCTCCTCGTCCCGAGCGGCAATGCAGAGGGGGCAGATCTCCGGCCACCGCAGGAAACACCAACGGCGGGAGCCGCAGCGCCGCCTCTGTACGGCGCCGCCAACTTCACAGTGATGCTCTCCTGCGCATCTTCACTCGTTGTCACCGTTCGCCTCCACGCTGTTGTGCTCGCCGCAACACCGCGTCTGCTTCATGACGGGGGCGCGTCTAGCAGTGAGGAAGACGCTGCCACAGTGTGTGGCTGCCCGCGCTTCTTTTGCGCCGCGGATGGCCACGGCGAGGACGCGCACACCGCCTGCACCGGGATCCTCGCCGCCGTGGGCGGCAAGGTGTATAGACTGGGACGGCGGGTGTGGGAGTGGGACGCGCGTGAGCTGCAGCGCGCCCGTTCGTCATGCGCCGTTGCGTTCAGCCTGCCACGGCTGCGGTGCTTCAGGTGGAGGGCGGTGCGGGCGGGCGAGGGGGAGGTGTCGCGGCCCCCGCCCCTCGCCCGGCAGCGGGGTCCGTGTGTCGGGCAAACCGCGTGGGTCCACGAGGACCGCTACGTCATGCTGCACGGCGGCCTCTGCCTTCCCCCGTCTGGCGCTACACCGCGACCGCCCCCTAAGAATAAAAGAAGGGCTGGACGACGGAGCCGACCTCGGGGTGGTCGAGTTGCCGGCGATGCTCCGCCTACTCCACGGACAGCTGCGCTTCTCCATTGGGAGGAGGAGGAGGACGCCGCTCTGCCCTGCTACGACACCAAACTGCACGTCTGGGGTGCGCTGGACACCGAGGGGGGCGACGTCGGTGACACAAGCACCAGCCGTGGCGCGGGGCTGCTCCGCCAGCAGGTGTTTCACTCCGCCGTGCTCATGAACGACAAGGTCTGGTGCTTTGGTGGTTGCAGTCTGGCGGCGAAGAGGCGGGGCGAGGGAGCAGAAGCCGTGCGGACCATGCTTGCGGAGGCGGCAAGTGCCTGTCAAGCGCCGCTCTTCAATGCGTTGACGTGCCTTGATCTTCCGACACGCCAGTGGCGCACTGTGGAGCCGGTGGCGCCGATGGAAAGCCGGGCGATGTGCCCCGATCGCACGCACGCCCCGTTCTGCGCAGTGAGCTCGCCGCTTGTGTCGGCTTCGCCACCTCCCCTGGCGTGCCACACGGCGGTGGGGTGGAACAATCAAATGTTTGTCTTTGGCGGCCTGCGGGAGGCGAAGGAGGGAGGGGCGACGACGCTGCGACCCTCCAATGCGCTCTACGCGTTTCACGTCACACGTCTCTCGTGGTGGCTGCTCTCTCCGCCACCCGCCGCGGGTGGGGATGCCTCTGGCGACGGGAGCAGCCGTGGCGGGGATGACGAGGGGCGGTGCAGAAATTGGCCCTCCGCGCGTTACGGACACGCCGCCGCCATTGTGCCAGAGCATCCGCATGGCGCCTTCCTCGTCATGGGGGGCGCCACACGCCTGGCGGCGAGCGAGGAGCGCAGCGAGGAGGCGGCGTGGCGCTGTGCCTGGGATGAACTGTTGTGGGTGTACTACGCGGCACTCGGCTACTGGCAGAGGGTCGATGCCCCGTCGTCTGTCCCGTCCACGCGACGCGTCTTCTCCTCCCTGCAGCTGCTGAGGGTAACTGGCGAGCCGTGGGTCTCGTACGTGGCTGTCCTCGGCGGCGGGTGCGACGCCGCGTGCCTGGAGCAGCCGCAGCAGGCTGAGGAGGAGAAGGAGGCGAACGATGCCAACGGCGGCAGCGACGCGGCATGCGCCATCGTTGCCAGGGGTGCCGCAGCAGGGCATGAAACGGTGCAGCGTGTGCTTGCCACCGCCCTCGCCTCTCCGCAGTGCGGGACCGTGTGGGTTTCACTGGAGGAGCGGGGCTGTTGGCATGCGCCGTCGCGGAGTCGAAACTGCGAAGGCGGCGAACGGCCAATGAGAAGTGATTGACGGGCACAATTCACACCTGCACAAATATATATTTGTATGGGCGCCAGCATGCGTAGTTGCGTAGGCTATTTGCTGTCTCCCGTGCCCCGCTGCGCACAGGCGAGTCAGGCGGCACATGGTGAGTACGACGGGCAGGGCTGCAGCCGCGCCGCCCCCTCGCGTGATGGGACATCGTTGATAGACGAGGAAACGTGAAGTGGCGGGTCGTCGTTCATAACACGCATTGCAGTTGGCGTTGTCTGTCTCCACTGCGAGTAGCGTCGCCGTGCCCCTTGACGAATGCTTCTTTCTTTCCCCTGCTTCCTTCCTCTCACTCTCTCTCTCTATCCCTTTCTTGGTCTGTGTGCGTGCGTGGGCGCCGCTGGGTAGCGCGTGTGTGTGTGTGTGTGGGGGGGTGGCGGGGCCAGCGAAGCATAGGAGTTGTGGTTGCGACTGACTGCAGGGAGGGGCGCCGCTTTTTCTAGATTGGCTGCTGTGCACTACTTAGTTTCCGTCCCGAATGCCGCGGCGCAGGGGCCTCAGCGCGCCGCTGCTCCTTTGCCTCCTGCTCGGCGTCTGGGTTGCGCTGCCGCCCCACCCGCGGCAGGCGGCGGCGGCGAAGTCGACCCCCGGCGCGGGCGAGGAGGACTTCTACGAGGTGCTCGGCCTCGGCGTGGAGCGCGATGACGCGAGCGAGCGGGACATAAAGTCAGCGTGGCGCAAGCTCTCGAAGCGGCACCACCCCGACCTCGCAGGGGAGTCGCAGCGGGAGGTCTACCAGCGCATCCAGCGCGCCTACGAGGTGCTCGGGGACCGCAGGAAGCGGAAGGTCTACGACATCCTCGGCCTCGACGGGGTCAGGAAGATTGAGCAGCCGCAGGACCAGCAGCAGCAGCAAATGAGCGCCTTCTTTTCCTTCTTTGGCGGGGGGCAGCCGCAGCAGCAAGCGGACCGCGGCAAGAATGAGGAATTCCTGCTGCTGGTGCCGCTTGAGGACATCTACAGTGGGGCGGCGCACACGGTGAAGCTCGTCAAGCGGAAGATCTGCCGCGCCTGCCGCGGAACCGGGGCCCGAAGCAAGGACCACCTCCTGCGCTGCCCGCACTGCGATGGCGAGGGGCGCATCATGCGTCGCGTGCAACTCATGCCGGGGTTTGTGCAGCAGATGGAGCAGCCGTGCCACCACTGCAGCGGTAGCGGGGCCATCATATCGGAAAAGTGCCCGATGTGTAACGGCGTGAAGACGGTGCGGAGCGCCTCCGCCATTAGCATCGACATTGAGCAGGGCACACCGGACGGCCACATCCTCACATATGAGCTGGAGGCGGATCAGCAGCCAAACCAAGTCCCCGGCGACGTTGTCTTCACGGTTGCCACCGCCCCCCACCCCCGCTTTATCCGTAGCAACGACGACCTCACGGTGACCGTGACGCTCACACTGAAGGAGGCGCTGCTGGGCTTCAGCAAGACGATAACGCACCTCGATGGTCACCTGGTGCAGCTGAAGGCCTCGCAGGTCACGCAGCACGGGGAGCGGCGCAAGATCTCCGGCGAGGGCATGCCGAAGCACCACGTGCCGTCGGAGCGGGGCGACCTCCACGTCATCTACGAGGTGGAGCTGCCAAGTCAGCTGACGGCGGCGCAGCAAGAGGGGCTGCGGCGGGCCCTCGGCTAAAAGACAAACCGAACCAAAAAAAGAAAAGAAAAAGAAAATGAAAAAAAAAACGGCAAACGACAAAACAAAACAGAACAACAACAGTTTAGCGGTGAGGGGGAGTCGTAGGGAGAGAGAGGGACGTGTGTGTGTGTGTGTGCGTGGGCGTGTGGGCGTGTGTGAAGGCGATGTACGTTTACC